GATACTTTGGAGTTTTGATTGTTTTAATTTTTGTAGATCTTAGAAGTAGTTATGTACTAAATGTAGATTTTAGAGTAGCAGCATATTATCCCTTTACCCTTTAACACACCAACCACACATAGCAAACCCTGTTACCCATTCCCATATCATTCCCCTAAATTCCACTGGCCTGTTTAGTCTCATTTTCAAGGTAGAATTGTAGAGAACACCCTAAAACCTACGCAAGAAGATATAGCCATAGACGCAACAACCTTCAGGCTAGAACTCTGGAAGGCCTCCAAGAACATTACGTGCTCTGAGGGAGATGAAGATGAAGAAGAGGTGGTCCCAAAACACCCCCAGACCCAATTCCCGAGAGGCGTGGCGGGGGCAGAACCTGGGTGGTGGTCGGATGGGGATTGGGTAAAAATCATTATAAAAACTGTGAACACCGGTATTCAAGAGAGCGCGTTGGGGGTATTCCAGAAAGCCTAGGGGCTCATTAAAGCCTTTGTATCCTTATCTTATCTCCTACCTAATTTGGCTTGGACTCTTTTTTTCCCCACAGCCATTTAGGCAACACTTCATTTCCACCTAAAATATAGAATGAATGGAAACTGAAGTCCATATATAGTGGCTGAATAGTCATAAAAAGGTCTATGTTGGCCAATACTCCAGTTCTTTGTCCCACTTCTTGAGATAATGAAACATCCATAGTTGAACTTGAATCTCCATCAGTAGTCCTCCATTTGAAGTGTTTGATGTGAAATGAAGAATTTCAAAGAACATCATAAAATGCACTTATTGTGCAACCGGAACATCAGTTTAACTCACTTCCAGCAAGAAAAAGTGACACCACTGTCTCATCTCATGAGAGTAAAGACAAAGTAGTGGTTGTTTCTGAAGTGCTCAGAGCAGAGTGTGATAAATAAAGTGCAAGGTTACATGTTGAAATGGGAAGAAAATAATAGTGAATTATTTGGGCACAATCTATTCTATCTAATAGATGAGGGAAGGGTATATTGAAAGAACAGTTTATGATCTGATATTGCAAGGCCATTAAAAGGTGCCTTCACAGAGGGGCATGTTAAGTTTGCATGGATATTTTTAATTCTGACCTGTTCTAAATGTTGTCATCTTTGATGATCCTTAGGCAATAACCATATACATGTCTGTTTCTAAAAGAAAAAGTATCTACTTCATATTACACAAAGATACATAGATGCCATTTATTTCTTATTACGTATCATTGTGACTTTCTAATTCCCTAATTTGTTGAAACTCTAAACATCTAAATTTGAATTATCCTTAACACATACATACTCCAATTACCCAAACATACCTGACATATGTACTACATACCCAACTCATTGTGGAATTAGCGTACAAACAAGCTCAAGTAGATATAGGAAATTAGACATCCAACTGAGCAACTTTCCCTGATGCTTGCTTTTTCTAACCATCTGGTCTACAACACAATATTATTGTCATGTACGCTTTTTCTGCCTTATGACTTCCACTTTTATTTACAGATTAAAATATGGGTTTAAATAAATGACTTGATAAAGATCAGTTGAAAATCTGTGGCACTGCCAGGCACCACATCTGCATTTACAAATCCCTGGTTGGTGCTTTTGGTCACAGTAAAATCCTTCCTTCCATTTATTATTACTCAGTAGAATTCAGTTCTTACAATATTACCCCTATAAAATTTTGTTGAGTCTTGTGAATTTTTTAAATTTATACAGCAAGAGAAATGCTTATTTCCAATACCAATATTCAGTGAAATTAAACCTTGATTCCTGTCTTGCTTTCAGCAGGATCCAATCTCCAGCTCAGCTGTATTCACTTCAATTATCACTTGCATGGACTTTACTTCCTACAGCATTTTAAATGGCCTAAATTTTACTTCAAATTTCCATTCTTTTTACATCACCACCTGTGAGAAAAGGAACGTTCTCCATGTTCTTGTTTTTATTTGGGAGCTTGTTCCAGCACAAAGCTAAGTCTTCTTAAACATTCAGTTGGTTCCCAGCTTTATTGATGGATACCTTATACTTTGGGTAGCTGTGAATAAAATCTTTATCAATCACTCTGATCGCTAAATTTTTTACATATCAGTGAACTGATTATTCTAGCAAGAGTTTTTTCATTCTAAAAGTTTTTTCATTCATTCAACAGTTTTTCATTCATACGATGCCCTGTGAAATTTTCACCAACACAACATCCAGCAAAACAGAGTATCACAGTGTAGGAGACGTTAGGCTGGGGCCATCTACTGGCTGTGTCGCTGAGCTTTTATTGATAGATTTAGAAAGCACTTTACATATGAAATTCTACTGTAATTATAAAAATAACAGCATATATTAATACATTAATCACCTAAGTATGTGATGTTTCTTGTGTAATATTTGTTTTTAAGTTTAAATATTCCATGAATTTAATATGGCCAACTATAAAAATTATTTATTTTTTGTGCTTTCATAAACAAAATAAAAATAAACATAAAGGGGAGGGGGCCTAAAAATGCTCTTACTTCCCAATAATATTAAAAAGAAAACAAGGAATAAAGTAATATTAGTGCCAAGATTTAAACAATTTAGTTTAGACAACTTTTGTATTACTGCTGTGATGAAGAGGGTAAATAATTCTTATTGCTTTGTGAGATTTTACCCTGAATTTTTATGTGTTGTTCTAAAATAACTAAGATGAAATATGTAATTTTCTTGGGATAAAGGATCTGTCAATTTTATGGTGTTCTTCAAAGGTTTTTATTAAAAATAAATTCAGACCCCAAAAAAGTTGCAGATGAACAGAAAAATAAAGCCTTTAAAACCACAAGTTCTATAAATGAGCTACTATGAAATAAGAATAATCCAGACAAATTAGTTTGGAGACCAAAAGTATATTTATATAATGATGGTGTTAAGTACGTATTTACTCATTTATTATATGATAATATTGATAATTATTTATGTTGTAATTTAGTCTTATTTCTTATTTTAACTGTCTTCAGGAACAGGAAAGAGCATTTTTTTTTACAGATTTTACAAGTTTAAGTGAGATCCTTTGTACTAATAAATTACTATACATATACATTTACGTATATGTATGTATGCACACAGACACTAAAATATATACATATTATCTAATTATTCTAATGTCTATACATACATATATGAGCACATGTATATACAAATGTGCAATATATGTATATTCATCTATATCACTTTATCAGCCCACGTGACTGCCACAGCAACTTCAAGAAAGCAAAGCATTAGTATAGTCCAGGTACCATGTTCTGAACCACTGATAGAAAGAGAAAAATTAAAATAGAAGAAATACTTATTATTTACCAGCAATGCCTGTTTGTTTTTTTCACCTAATCCTAAGGGTGTTTCGTTCAGGAGCTAAAAATGACAGCAAGAAGGAATGCTGCCAGCCAGAGCAAGTCAAGTAAACCTGCTGGGGGCCAATACCACAGTAGTGAACTGCCCAGCAGAAGAGAGCTGCATCTCACTGCTGTGCATCACTAACACACATACATGGGCAAGGAAAGAAAATTAACACCTTAGTCTCCAACTGTTTGTCATGGAATGTAATGTAGTGATTGTGCACTGGTTGGAAGGTATTTGCTAAGGTCAGAGCCTACTCTGTCTTCCCAAAGCACATTTGCAAGAAAATATCTCTTCTCTATTTTAACCACTGAAGTCAGAATCCTCTGAAGGCATTCCGAAGAAAATCAGAATATGACTGCTGCCAAAAACGGTAACAGTTTGCAAGTTTGGTGATACAGTTTGATCAGGGTAATTTCAAGATTTAACATACCTTTCTGTCAGTTTCTACTACAAAACTCCCAAAATTCTTGCTCAGACAAACATTAATGCATAATGATCTCATTTTTATGTCTAAGTGGTTCATGTCAAACACTCTGAAAATTTTGATTCTCGGGATTATCAGCAGCCTAATGTAGCCTGTCGCAGTTTCAGGCTTATCACTATCCTGAAGTACTACAAACAACATGCCTAGTAACAGGAATTTGTCTAGTCTGAAGAACTCATGTCCTTGAAGTTCTTACTGTAGGTACACATGTAAACATACATTTGAAAGCTCACTATAACATAAGCTTTCAACTGTTGCCAAATATTGTCTCTTTCAAAGTGCAAATTTAAATCTTACATTCTATTAGTACAGCTATCCAAATAGATTATTCTTTTTAGTTAAATTATATGTTTTCTTGTCTTTGACCTCATTTTTTAATGCCACAGCAAGACTGCAGCAGGTGCATTTAATGTGACCACAGGAATCAAAGCCAGCAAAGGCCTAAGCAGCTCATTTATTCTGCTCCTTGATACCACACTATTCCTCCCTGGAGTGAAGTAAAGCTCAGATGAAGGCCTTTCACCAGATCTACCAGAAGACTGTTCGACCCTCCATCAAGTCTCTGAAAGAAAAACCCTTCTGCCCTTCAGCCTTAAATTCAGCCCTCTGCAAACAACCTTCTTCCCCCTTGGATTTTACATTTTAACATATACAGACTGTTGCCTTTTCAGACAGATGCACTCCACACTCCAACTAATTCTGTTCCTCTTCAGAGTCCATCCTGGGCTTCATTGCCAAGTCCAGGCTTCCACTTTCCGGTCATTCCAAGCCTCTGCAATGCTGGTACGTCCTTCCTTCCTCCAGCAGCCTTCTCTCTCCAGAACCCACATGAAGACGTGCTTAGAGAAGGCCTTCGTATCACGCACGCACAAAACAGCCACGTTTCGCCTATTAATCTCCCAGGACGCGTAGGACGCGGCAGCTCTCACGACCACCCACCTCCAAGGTGAATGACACTCCATCCACTCCCAGCCTCTGGCACCGGGACGAATTCGCGGGCCTAAGCGAGCGGCCGGGCAGCGCTGATTGGCTGTGACGAGCGAGAGGGGCGGAGCCGGGAGGGTCACCGCGCTGATTGGCTGCGGCGCCGCGGGCGGAGGGCGGGTTGGGGTCGGCGGCCGTTGGCGCGCAGTTTGAAGATGGCAGCGGCGGCGGCCGCGGCCGGCGGGTCCTGCGGCTGCTCGGCTTTGCTGGCTCCGCCGGAGGCCGTGGCCGCCGACTGGATGCTGGAGTTCGCCTGTTCCTGCCTGTGCCAGCACTTCGGGGACAGAATCGGGGCGGAGTTCTGGCGGTGGAGCGACGTGGCGCAGGGTGAGTGGCGGTAGGGGATCGGGGGTGTTCCGCCGGCGCTCGGGGCTCTCGCAGTGCCGCCCCTGGGCCGCTGTGTCCTGCCTCCGGCAGCGCTGAGGAGGGGGGTGTTCGGCTCTTTCGAAGCCTTCAGGAGGTTCCCGGAGCACCGGGTAAGCTGCTGAGGCCGTTTGGTGGTGTCGGCAGCTCTCGCACACGGTGGCAGTGAAGCAGTGCAGGCAGAGTTTTTGTTTGCTTGTTTAATGTGCCGGTGTTCGAGCTCGATTGTTGGCGAGATAACCGCAGCTCCTGTGAGTTAATATTGTGGTTGAATGAAACTGAATCTTTCCAAGAAAATAGAGTGATTACTGAGGGCTCGGTGTTTAGGACTTTCAGACGTTGAGGTGAAGTCATTGCTATTAATCTGTCATCTTCATTCACCTTACCTGTACAACACGACTGCCTGTGTACCAATAGCAGCTGCTGAAACTGAGGCCTCGGATGCTGAGGGGGGAAAGGCTATCGAGAAGCTGAAGAGGATTTAGTGAAGAGATGCAAACGTGGTAAAAAGCAACGAGAGTAGCATTAAACACACCAAGTTCCACGAGTTTACTTCGGGGTTATGATAGAAGAAAAGAAGTATTTCAAGGAATGATACCCTGGCAGACAGAGGTGAAGTCTGGTAACTGTATTTTGAATGGAAAAACATATATTTAAAATGAGAAATCCACTTAAAAGTGAGAGTAGTTAACAGCTGGAAGCAAATGTCTAGGTCTCAGATAAATTTGATGGATTTATGGTTTTTTGTTTGTTTGTTGTGTTTTTGTGTGTGTGTGTGTTAGAAATAGTTTTCCTGAAGAGGTTTGGGGATATTTTGTCTGTATGAGTGTGTTCTTCACTAAAGTGAATGTGATAGTATGATTTGTTTAAAATCCTGGAAGGCATGGAGTACAATGGCATGCAGAATGATTAGTAAGGAGGTGATATGAGATATTGTAAGAGGTAAGAAATCTAAAGATAATTAAGTACATTGAATGGAGAGCTGCTAGATTAAATTATTCATGGTGCTTTTCTATGTTTAGCCTTGGGACTGTAACTCAGTGGGAGAATTGCACTGAAATTTCCTGAAGGTGGGAAGCAGAGGAATTGTACTGAAGTTTCATGAAGGTGAGAAGCAAAGGCACTGCCAATGCAGATGCAGACTGAAATATCTCCTGAGAAGAACTGGGACAATGGAGGACTGTGTTAGTAGAAACAATTAATTAAATAGTACAGAATGCAAGGTCAACATGCAGCTGAGAACTAAGAGGAAATTTTGAACTTGTTCCTGCTCTATTCAGCAACAGAGGAAAGAGTGGGGCATATTGGTGCTGTAAGATTATAAAGCCAGTATTGTAAATGTCTATGGGAAAAGCTAATCACAGCCATAAGATTCCATTAGAAAAGAGGGTGTGGGTTTTGGTGAGTATTTTTCATGGAAATACAGAACTATTACTCTTGTATTTGTCAAAGTGAGACCCTACTGAAATAATGATTGGTTGTCAACAAGAAGGTCAATTCAAACTGAAGGAAGGGCAGAAAGGTTGGAAGACAGAGGAAACAAGATGAGTGATTTTATTAGGAGATAAATAATATTTTTTTATACCTCAGTATACTGCCAAGTAGAAATAGCTAGGTTACCTGGGATTAAAGATTTAAAGACAGCGTGGCAAGGTTACATGCCTTGCTTGTTTCATCATGCGTTGGCAGGGTGTCACAGTCCATATACCTGAACTAGCTTGTGTAGGTATCTACATGGCAAGGAACTGGATTTATAGAATTTCTAATGAAAGGCTAAGATGAGAAATACATTTGAGTTGCAACAGGGAGGAAGTGATTTGTGATTGAGGATACTATTAACAAACAATTTAATAGAGAAACTGCCTTGGGTATGTGGAGGGAGAATTGTCTGGAAAAGATTACTAAGGCCGTGTCTCTTTCTGTTTGTCTGCATTAATAGTGAGTAATTGCTGCTAAGGACCTGGTGTCCACACAGTAAACATTTAAAGGTTTCTTTTTCTTTGGAATAGATCTAAAGGAATTCAGTTTGTGTAGTCAAGATTGTTCCATTGCACAAACCAAGCACAGGAGGTTTTCTTTAAAGAGACACCTCTGCTCTGAATTCAAGTGGTAATGTAGGTGCACATTAAGAGAACAGAGAAAGCTGAAAAATCTCAAGCTGCTTGCCAACACGACCCCTGTTGTTCTGTGGAATTGTTCACTTGTGATATTCTGCCTGCTTCCGAAATTTCAAAGTTCTGCCTTCATCTTCAGAGTATGGTGTTCGTCTCTATCATTGGACAAGCTTGAGTTGTTGTGTCCAAATAAGAGTTGGACAAACTCTTTCTGAAATTGAACTCTGTAGTCTGCCACAGAAGGTGCATAAGTGATCACAATGAGTGATGCTTTACTGCTGTTCTAAGCAGTGTCCTCTTTTTACTTCATATTTTGTCTGTAGGAATTAAAAGCTCCCATATAACCTGTCCTCACAGAAGTCAATGGAAATGTTCTTCCAACTCCAAATGACAATATTCTGCTTGATGTTAGGTAATCCATTCAGAGCTGTTTACTTTGTAATTTCATGCTTACCTATTCTGTGTAGGAGACGATCATACACTAATATTCACGTAGGCTGAGTATTTCCAAGTAAAACAATGTGTTATGTGCTCTAGTTGTGTCATTGCAAAACTCTAGTGTTCTGTGCTCCAGAATGCTGGCTTTTTTGCTAGGATGACACTGAAATGTGTACATAAACAATTCCTGGACTAGAGTGTTCTGTCTGCAACTTGGACAAGTAATATGACATGTTCTTCATAATTCTGTGACTTTGTTGGACACAAACGGAAACATAGGAAGTTTCAGAATACAAGGAAAAACTTTACTTTGAGGGTGACTGGAATAGGCTGCCTAGAGAGGTTGTGGAGTCTCCTTCTCTGGAGCTATTCAAAACCTGTATGGATGTGATCCTGTGCAACCTGCTTCACCTGAACCTGCAGGGACATTGGACTACAAAATCACAGAATGGGTAAGGTTAGAAGGGATCACAGTGAGTATAGAAGATATCCAGTGGCTCCTTCCAACCCCAACTATTCTGTGATTCACTTTTCATTTTGAACGTTACTGTATTTTGCTGTGAAGATGAATTATTATATCCAGCCCAATAAAATAAGAAATTCACAGCAACCAGCATGATGGGTATCAACTCATGATAGTTCCCATTCTAAAATATGTAAAAATTCTTGTGACCTTGCAACCTTGAAAGGAGAGTTTCCCTCGAAGATTTACATTTCTGACTGCGCTTTCCTTTTAGCTTTTAATGCTTTTTGTCTGTTAAATTGCTGTAGCAACATGTAAGTGTTACCAGTCTGCCTGTGGCTCGTGGTCTGTGGGCATTCCATGGAAGTGTACTCTGGAGCAGACAGATGTCTTTTGTCGTAAGCTACTTACCCAAACAAAACTTTATTTTGATGCCATGGTCTTTGAATCTGAATGTAAGCCTGTGATACATTTTACTGCTGCTTTGGAGAAGGGTATATTTTTCTGCTTAAGTTCTTAAATATTAAGTTTTTTTAACATGGACAAATACTAACTAAATGTGCTTCATTGGTTTCTTAATGAACAAAAAATTAGTAGATCATTAAAGTCTGATAACTCAGTGTCTAGAATATGTCTAGCCACATTGTGGCAGTAGGGGAGCAAGACTGACTTCTCATTTGTCTTCTTTTCCAGCTCTTATCAATGGCTTTTTCAAAATACCAACACATCAGAAGAAAAGAGTTTTTCTCTGTCAGCTTTTGATAAGAATTGCAAAAGGAAAAAGCTTCGGTAAAATACTCTGATTCTTTTTTTTTTTTTTTTTCCCACTTGTCTAAAAGTATTTGTGTGAACTTGCACAGAGGTGTATTAGATATGCTTTCACAGAGCCTTTACTGTACATATTATAAATACACATGTAGATATATATTTATATGTAAATCATATATATCTGTAAACACATATATAGATAAGTATGTGTAAATAAATGGCATGAACTCCACATTTTGGACTATCTTTATTCCACATGTGACTGAGTTGTATGCAGGACCAGTGTTATTCTGTGCTGACTGACTTAGCTGCTCTGAGTTTGAATTACTATATACTTCTTAAATTATCACTCTATTTTTGTCAGGGTGATATCAACAAAAGAAAAGACTGACTAGCTCTTAATGAGACATACTTGCAAGTTTAAAGCTCAGGATGTACGTTCCTTTCTTCACACATAACTAGAGGTTAAAGAAGGACTAACAGTAGGAATAAGAATATGGATGAAAAGGATGACTGCCCTTGTTTCCTGCAGAAGGCTGTAAGACTTTCAGCTGGCAACAGGTCCTTAGGGCTCTTTTTCACTACCATATCTCCTCTGGCTGTTTTTGCAACTAACTTGTTGATTCAGCCAAGATGATTTTGTTTCACACTGGAATTTTTGGAAGACTTAACTTTTCTTTGCTGCAGATTTTTACTGTTTGATTAAACTCATTGTAGGACTTGAGAAGCAGTCTTGCCAGCATGAGCATAGAAGAAACAAGTATATTCTAACCTAGCAGTGCCATGAAGGCTTGTTTTTATAAAATTAATTTCTTTATGTTGCTTGCCAGGTAATAACAGTTGTCTTGATTTGTTTTAGCTTGAGATTCAAATTCTAATATTTAAAGTAGTTCATTTTATACAAATCATGAAACTTTTCTGATAATGCTCTAAAACTATGTTATTGTGTATAACACTTGGGAATACAACTTTGCTGTGCATTTTTTTTATCAGTATAGAGAATGACCTGTGTGGTGAGGAAGATTGCATACACTCAGCAATTACATCAGGTGTAGCTGCACAGTGTAGATGGAAAGCTGCTCTATGGTAGCTTTCCTAATTTTTTTCTAATTATTAAACTATTTAATCTGTACTGAATCTTAAAACAGAGTAGGCTGTTTCAGATGCCAGCTCTTTTAAACACTTTGGTTTTACAGTATTAAAACAATCTTAATACAAAGTGTCATATTACTTGATTGAAACAATAAAGAAACATAAAAGTGGGGTTTTTTAATTATGTGTGTATATATGCACATAACACTGAAGTTTTACTGACTTACTGTAGTGAGTATAAAGTAATTTTTATTTTTTAAGTATTGCTTAAACTGTTTACTCATTCCTTAATGAAAAGAATGAGTTATTGGGAGAGATTCTTCTTATGTCATATAAAATGAAGGAATAAGTGGACCTATAGTTCAATGAACATCTTGATCTAAGCTGGCAGTGATGTGGGGAAAAAAAACACTTGTTCACCTGCTAGCTCCTCCTGCTTCTTTTACATTCGCTTGTACAGATGTGTAAGGACCAGACTGGGAAACTGTTTTGAGAGTGTTGAGGTGATGACTATTTGGCTAGGTCAGATCTCTGCCAGAACTGATCACTGATCCTTCTCACTGGGAGTTTACACAAACCTTGGTGTTGGCACAGTGGTACACTGACATGGGAAGTTGCTTCTGCCTATTCAGTGACACTCCTGTGAGTGTCAAGCTGTTTGAATTTCCCTCTTGGTTTAAGCACTTCAAATACGACAACTTAACAAGAACTTAAGACACGGAAATAACGTGATAGATTCAGAAAAAAACCCCAACCTTAGCATGGTGGTTATGTTACAAAAATTAACAGTATCAATACCAAATGTTTTGATAGCTGATGCTAAGCTTACTGTATTATTAATGCCAGCCCAAGTACCTAATCCTGTACTCAGCACTATTACAAGTGGCATTTTAAGTGAACAAGAATTAGCAGACACATAATATCCCTTAAAAATCAACAGTAATGTCATTAGCAAGGGTAGGAAGAAATAGTCTGTCTGAAAAGAAGATAGTTACTTCAGGTTCTTAAACACACCTGGAGAGAGAGACTATAAATTATTTCAGGAAAAAGGAATTCAACATATTACTATTTTACATTTAAATACTGTAATATTTTTAGCTTTATCCTTTAAAGTACTTTTTTTTTTTAATGTGCTTTTTTTTTTCCCCTCTAAGAATTACAGTTTGAAAATGGTAAAAAAATTTCACCTTTGGAATCTGCTCTGTCTTTCTGGACTTTACTTGAAAAGGAAGAAACTAAACTGGAAAAGCTTCATGAAGATATTCGTCACTTGATTCAAATTCAGGTCTGTGTGACTTACTCAAAATGCTTCAGGATGCTCCCTGTTCATTGGGAATGAGCTGGAAAGCTGCCCAGCAGAAAAGGAGCTGGGGGTGCTGGTCAATAGCCAGCTGACCACAAGCCAGCAGTTGCCCAGGTGGCCAAGATGACCAATGGCATCCTGGCCTGGATCAGCAATAGTGTGGCCAGCAGGACCAGGGCAATCCTCATCTCCCTGTACTTGGGATACTTGGCACTGGTGAGGCTGCACCTCGAGTACTGTGTCCAGTTCTGGGCCCCTCACTTCAAGAAGGACACTGAGGTGCTGGAGCATGTCCAGAGAAGGGCAACGAAGCTGGGGAGGAGTCTGGGGCACAAGTCTTATGAGAAGCATCTGAGGGAGCTGGGGGTGTTCAGCCTGGAGAAAAGGAGGTTCAGGGCAGACCTTATCTCTCTCTACAATGTAAGGAGGCTGTAGCCAGGTGCATGTGGGTCTCTTGTCCCAGGTATTAAGCAACAGGATGAGAGATAATGGCATCAAGTTGTACCAGGGAAGGTTTAGATTGAATTTTATGAAAAACCTTTTCACACAAAGGGTTGTAAAGCATTGGAACAGACTGTCCAGAAAAGTGGTAGAGCAACTGTCCCTAGAAATGTTTAAAAAAACCTGTGGATATGGATGAGGACATGCTCTAATGGTGAACATGGTAGTCCAAGGCTGATTGTTGGACTTGATGACCTCAACTCAAGTATTCTATGATTCTGTCTTACTAAAACAGAGCCCCTTTTACAAAATGCCTGGGCTATTAGCAGACTGAACTGAATTTTCAAAGTTTTAATACAGAGTAAATAAATCTGTACAGGGGACCTTTTTCTATCCAAAGCGGTTCCTGTTCGTACCAGTTCAAATTTGTATCAAAAGCTGCCAATCTGAAAAAAAAAATATATCACAATTGGTATCAATTTCAAAACACTAGTATCTTGAGCTATTCGTATAATATGAACAGCTTTTTTTTTTTTTTTTACTTAAAAATAATTATTTGTATTAGAAAACTTTTGATTTCAAAGAGGAGCATATAAAAACACATTGTCAACTACTGGGAATGTGAAAGTCTTTCAGGAAGAGACAGAAGCAGTGCTTAATGGGTAAGTATGGGACACTGCCTCAGTGAGGGTCCTTTTAAATGCCTGATGGAGAGGCTTTATACGTGGTGTTTAATATTACTTCAGAACTAACTTTTATAACTAGATAATTGTTGGTAACCCTTAAGTATATAATAATCTGAATTTTGGAAGTCTTAAAAAACTGTAGTATTGTGACTTTTCTTGGGTTTTTTTTTCTGATTCTCAGGTGAAAAGTGTTTCAGCATATCTTGTAATTATATTTGTTGCAGATTGTAGCAGGTCATATAGAGAATGGATATTTTAAGGAAGCTACTGATGTTCTTCAAAGGCTGTTTACGGACTCTGAATCAGATAAGGTAATAACTTTCTTAACTTGTATTAAACTCTCTTATTTTCAGTGGAGAAAGATGGGAGTGGGTTTCCAAAGCTAGCAAATGCTGTCTACATAACTTTGACCTAATTATTGTCCTTGTGGTCACTTACACACCAGTGGCACATTTAAATACAAAAGGAAATTTTTGGCTAGGGGATTGATGGAAATAATGGGTGATTTGGGGGAGTAAAATGCATCTAGCAGTGGGGTTTTTTTCCATTTAATATGAGGAGTGAGGTGACACTGCAGATTCTGGGAATTTAATAGCACTGTTTTCTCAGAGCAAAGGCAGTATAAACATGCCAGTAGAGACATAACTCCCTAATAATAGTCTGATGACTTCTGTCGCAGTGGACTCTATTCTTTACCTCTGTTGATTACTGTTCTATGTACTGAAGCATCACATCATTAGCTTCTCTAGTATGGACTGAATGTTGTTATGCCTCTACTTGGAAAAGACAACATATGTGAGTCAGGACAGTTCGTGGTTTGAAGTTGACTGCATCATTCTGAAAGATGAGTTTGAGTGTATATCTCTTTAAAATAATAACTGGTGCATACACCTGAATTTGCTGGGGTGGAGAAAAGAACGAAAGAGAGACTGCAGGCAAAAAGAAAAAAAAAATAAAAATACTGCCTGTGTCTTCATCTGGTATATTAGGACTCGTGCTCTATGGAAGTAGTAGCATGTGCATAACTTATTCTTCAGATATGCTCCTCATTCAGAGGGTTTGGTTGTTTGAAAAGTGTAGACTGTGGTAATAGTATTCAAATTCATAAATAAGAATGCAGCCTGTACACAGAAGTCAATTCTCTTGGCTGAATTGGTTTCTGTAAGACTCAGAGGGATTGGTAGACAAAATGTGAATTTCTGATTATCAGTATTGATATGTCCTTAAGGCTGATATACTAAGTAGTTCTTTTCCTGAACACTGTACACCCCTTTCAATAGCAGTGTTTTTGAGGCAGCAAATGAGAAAAGAGAACTCACTAATGAGTGGCTTTTACTGGGTGTTTCTTGCTCCATTGACAACCCTGCTTTCAATGTTATTCATAAAGAAAATGAGGATCTCTGGAAAGTTACACTTTACCATTTACAGAGCACATAAAGTAAATGCCCGGTATTATGCGTATTTTACTTTAGAACCCTTTCAAACTGTAGCATGAAGTTGTATAGACATATTCAGGAAACTATATAATCATCATGTTTACTTTCTGTATGTCCTGTTTAGCATAGATACGAAGTTTACTGCAGAATTTATGTTTTTTAAAGCTGTGGTTTTCTTAGCCTTTAAGGGTGAAGCTGGCAACCGTAATTAAAAACAAGGATCCATATGTTCCTCTTCTCCAGAGCTTCAGTTACGGTCTTTTAATAAGTAAAATCAAGTCCTACATAGAACTTTTCAGGAAAGAAAATGAAACTAACTTCTTAATACAGGTATGTCAAAAGCATTTTCAAAACTTTTCAAAAGAGTTACCTGATAAGATTAAATGAATTTATACTTTCAAGGGAGTTGTTTAGGCAATAATCAGTTATTGTATTAGATGAAAAGGAAGCTTTCTTTTCCTTTAGATTGTCTTATATTCAACCTTTTTTTTAAAATTAATGTGTCTTGGAGAACGTTATTAAGAATAAGTCTCCTCTAAAATATCTTCTATGAATGTTTTTTCCACAACTGTTTTGATTAGAAAAGTAGTTAGGAGAAAAACATAAGTAAAATAAGATCTGTCAGCAGTGTATGTTTAAGAGAAACAGTTCTGATCTGGGACTCCTTAAAAAATAACGTAGCTATATATTTACTACTTATTTTGTTTAGATCTGTATGACTTATATGAAAAATAAAAGATCGAGACCTGTTAATTTGGCTAAAAGCTTTAGGAATGTCAGAGAAGTTAGGAGGTAGAAAACTATTATTGCTGTTTTCCTGTAAATAAGAAAGGTCCTTACAAAGAATCTTGCTCAAAAGTGATTTAAAATGGGCAAGAACAACATTCCTCTTGCAGTTCATCTTCAGGAGGATTGTAAAGAATTTCTCTTATGTTTACTTCCTTTTAAAAAGTATTGAATTATTCAATTACAAAAGCACAGACATCTAAAGGTAATAAGAAGCAAATTTTAAATAAACAATCCTGAAGTTCCTCTGTGTTTTTCATTTTCTTACCTTAGAGACTAGGCAACTTATTAAATGCATTCAAAGTATAATACAAGGAATACCTTTTAATGGTTTCACTTGACTGTCAGTTTTCAAGTTTATTTTTCAAGGCTATTTCTTTGAGTGCAAGAGGAAATCAAGGTTTGGAGGTGTCAGAGAAGGCCCAGAACTCCACATTAGCATAGCTAGGCCCTCTGTTGTTGCACCCGCACTACCTGGCACATCTGTCCTACTTTCTGCACAAGCACTGCAAATCTTATTTTGAACAGAGTTATTCTAGGACATCTTTGTGATGAGTTCCCCCTTCTGTATAATACATAATGATTCCCCATCAGTGTTCTCTACAGAAGAGCACTCCAGCTTCAATTTTAATATCTCTTCCCTTTCTTCTAATGCCAGATGTAGAATATAACCATAGAATAGTTTGAATTGGAAGAAACTTTTGAAGATAGTCTAGTCCAACCCCCTTGCAATAAGCACAGCCATCTTCAATTAGATTAGATTGCTCAGAGCCATATCCAACCTGGCCTTAAATGTTTTCAGGCACAGAGCATCTACCTCATCTCTGGGCAACCTGTTCCATGTTACACCACTCTCATAATAAAAAAAAAACCCAAACTTTCCTTATATCTAATTTAAATCTTTCCTCTTTTAGTTTAAAACCATTAACCCTTGTCCTGTTACAATAGGCCCTGCTAAAAAGTTTGTCCCCATCTTTCTTTTAAGCACCCCTGAAAGTACTGGAAGATGCTATAAGGTCTCCCCAGAGCCTTCTCTTCTCCAGGCTGAACAACTCCAACTCTCTCAGCCTTTCCTCATAGGAGGAGATGCTCCAGCCCTATGATCAACTTAGAATCATTTTGATATTTTAATGCTACAAAGCAGATCACCTTTTAGGGTGTGTAGTGTTAGATGGAAGATGATTGGCTCTGCTTGCACAACTGGCAAGAATGAACTTGAGGACTAAGTTGGACTAAGTGATTTTTTTTTTTTTTGAGAGTGTTTTTATTACATCAAGTAAGTGGGAGAAATATAGGGAAAAGTACATATCTTGAGATTGTCTGGACATTCTATAAAGAGTAATGAACTACTACGTCCTTCTCTTGGCAATGGAGGAAAAGTAATCTTAGTTTGTGGCTGAAAGATGGGCAGGATATTAGAAAAAAATTTTTTGCCAGTGCGAGAAAGGTTATATTGCAAACCTAAGGTCTGATTAGTCATCTTTTGAAAGTGTTACAGGCATTCTTGATCCTCACATGTGCTACAGAACTTGATAAACTTGTGAGACCTGTCAGTTTTCCATTTCTAACCTAGTTACAAAAACAGACTTCAATATACTTGAATAGTATTTGCAGTCTTAGTTAATCTCCACGATATACTTCACACTTTCATAAGTTCACTCATTATGCAAGTATTCATTGTATTTCTTTGTGTCCATATAAATATCACTTGCAGCTATGACTAAAATTTCTCGAGTTATTAGTTGATAAAGATCTTTATGGGTTTCAATTTAGCAAGCTAGAGTTGTTTTGAAACTGCTTATTTTCATGGTAATACCTCTGAAGTGTTTGTGAAATAAGCACTGTTAGTCCTAATATGGAGTACACATATTAATCCTAGTGTGAACTACTATCTAGGCATCGGCTGGCTTTAATTTTAAGGTATCAATTCCATTTCTCACAGGAAGCCACAAAATACGCAGAGTCTAAAGGATTGGAAGCAACAGCATTGCAAAACCAATCTGTGAATGTCAGTGAAAATAACAAAAGTAATTTGGATACAAAGCAAAGGTTTGTATTAAGGATTATATTACTGAGGGGTGTACTTGGACGGTAACTTGAAACTTGAAGAATAAAGAGTAGGGAGAAGGAAGAATGTTAAATTCCAAACTGCTGTCCAATAGAAAATTAGCTACAAGCATATTCCCTATTTTCTTAAAATTTGGGCTCTTCTATAGTTGTTATTTTTGGCATTTACATCAAATAGCTTTGGTTAAGTTTAATTATTTGTAAATATACACAATTTTCAGTTTAAACAGCTGTCAGTCTTTTATAACAGTAAAAACATCAAAAGACTTTGCTTTTTTTAATGCTCGATTGCACACTTTTTAGTCCTGCCCTCCTAATTTTAGGCTATAAGTCACCTTAAGAAATAGAATAAGAAAATGGAATCAGTCTGTTACATTTTTCTTACAGCTGAACACAAGATTCTGCTGTTGATACTAATGTGAAGGGAAGTAGTAATGTTATTTTATGATTCTGGAAGTGTGAACCCTCAAAACAATTACATGCTTATTTTGGAATATTCTAATATTCTAGGTTTATTGCCTTGTTTTTAATGGAGAATATAACTGTAGTTTTTAGCTGGGATAGAGCTTCTATTTCTGCAATGTTATACTTGGAGTATTTGACATCATTTAGTTAAGGAAATTGACTCATGCAGACAGTATAGAGGAAGACATTTCATAAGGTTTGTTTGGTTGGGTTTTTGGTTTTTTTTGGTTTTTTTTTTAGAAGGACAGCTCATGAAACAATTATATCTTAGAGATATGATGAAAGACTTGCTAAAAAACCCCTATGGAAGTAATCTGTGATGAAAAATAAAGATGTGCAAAATGCCATCAACTTAAATGTGTGAGGCAAGATTAAGAAGGTTAATGGATTGATGGAGTTAAGTGTTTGTATGCTACTGTTTCTGTAGAGAGATCTTGTTTTTTTTTTTTTTTTTAATTTAAGTATTGTTGAATCATATAAATGGCAAGTTGCTGCTTAGGAATTTTTTTTTTCTTTTTTTCAAGATTGGTGAAAGAGCAACAGTATATCACAAATCAGTCCCCTGGAAGGTAAAATTTGCTTTTGTTGCTTTTAGTCATAGACTTTTCATGAAATTCTGTGTATTTTTACTCCATTCTATGTTGCTTGCAGGCCTTATTCAGGGCAGAAACACACAGGGAGCAGAGTTCTTCAGAGTGAGTATTAGTTTATTTTTACACTTTTGAAACAGTCGTGTCAAATACTTATTTCTAAGTGTGATTGGATTAATAAAAAAATGGTTATGGAGGGGAAAAACCCTCCTAATTTTTGTTTGTATTACCTATACAAGTGCAGGTTTGGTGGTTGATGTATTTAGGAAGCTGTGAAGTGGCTTCTCCGGCAACTCATTTTGTGAAATCATTCACTATTTTCTGGTTTGCTTGGGGTTTTGTTTGCTTTACTGTGATTTACAGTATTCTTTGCAAAAGAAATTCTTTCTGAATTCTGTGCTAGATAACTTTTGTGGGATAGAACTAAAGAGGTTGGCTGATTGGAAAAACAAGTTGTAGTGTAAAATGCACACAATTAGGATGTTTCTGCATTTTCCTGGTAACCCTAACTTAACAACATGGATAATGTAATATTTATTTTTAAGTAGGTTCTGAAGACTGTTAGCAACCTCTTACCACAGAGAGGTGATGTTATAGTTTCTGCATGTGGCCATGTTGTACATGGAAGGACAAACTCTTAAGATGCCTTGAATGCTTGCCACAGTTAAAACCTGATACATGTACTTGGAAGTAATGGAATCTGTATACAAAGAATCATAGCTCTGATTCCTTGTTACTTCCCATTCTCTCTGTGTAAAAAGAGAGCAGTATGTATAGTGAAAATGCTTTTACCAAAATGAAATGTTTCATTATAACGTACCAATTTTTACTGAATTAATTTAACTAATTAATTTACCTAATTAAAATATAATTCTTCTGTGAACTCTCTTGTATAGAAAATGTGGTGATTTTTTTTTTTTTTGAAGAGGCTATTTTTTGAGTCCTTGGACTATGGTGAGATTACTGTGTATTCATATAAAAAAGTATATTTATATGTAATCAGACACTGAAATTTTCACAATCTGTCATAACATATCAAAATAGGGTACGTTCTTGTCTCATGCACATGGTAGAACACAGAACTGCTGCCTTAATGGTGACTCCTCATTGTACTGGATTTATATTAACTGTCTCCTAGGTCTGAACAACTTGCAGAATGTGGAAAACCATGGAGTTTCAGCTGGTGGCCGAAGAAGACAGGTTTGTACCATTCTCTGTTCTAAATTGACATAAAATTAATCTGCACTGCACTGAATTTTTTCCCCAGCTTTATTTGACCTTCTCCAAAATTACTAGACTTAAGATTCTGTAGATTACTCAAGCTGTATGTGTGTGTGCTACAGCTCCTGAAACTGTTAAATCAGGCTTTTTTTTAAAGACAGGCAATAAAACTTATTCTGTGCACTTTCTAATATTATTGTTGCTAATGCTTCTGAGCCTTTAATTTGTTGAAATACACTGTTTCTAAAGCTTAGTTTGATTCTTTTTTTTAAAATGTGAAAAAATAAAACATTCTGTTGGGATTACAGAATTCAGGATATCATTTGCCCATGAGAATTTTAGGCAAACATCAAAGACTACTTGTTTTCCAACTTATAAGGTTGAATTATGGAATTGCTAAATATTTAATGGTTTGCTCATGTTAGGTGAAAACATCTATTTACTTGGGAAAATATTTTAGTTTTCATAAACCAAATAATAGGGTCTTCTTATAATGCTACATTTCAAATTGTCCTTTGCATTCTCTTCATGGGTGAGCCTACTTCATTTGATTACTTAAAATAATGCTGTTATGTTCCCTAATGACGGAATTCCCTGTTGGTGGGAAGTACAGAAGTGTATGCCTTAATAGAAGGCAATTTGATTTGGTGTCGGGGTAAACTCTTTCAAGCTAATTTTTGCACATAGCCAATTTTCATTCATAATTGTTCACCATCTTACCATGATAACTGAGGAAATTAATATTAAGTAAATGCATTGCCTTTGAATTCATTTTCATAATATCTCTTAGGAAGCAATTTGGAGTCTTTCTGTTTAGAGAACAGTACACATTACCGTCATACATCCATTTTGGTGTGAGCTGTTCCATTTTTCTGGTGTTCATTTTGACATTTCATTTTTTGTACAACAGGTAGGGCCAAACCTGCTCATGTTTTTTTTTCCAGATTGTCATTGAGGAAAGTTGTACTTATTTCTAGTTCTTTAGGCATTGTTACTGCAGTTGAAGTACTGGTTAAATGTTCAGTTACATAGTGTCCTCAGATTGGTTGAGGTCTTTATGAGAGCTCCTCTATCCTTGGAGGTTGAGTCCCTATAAACAGTTTTTCACTTTCCCACAAATCTCAGGAACAGTTAAATCACTGAGAGCCTCTTTAAAAGCTACAGATAGAACCAGTGCCCTAAAAAGAAAAAAAATAGAAGCACTTACTGGATTTGTTAGTTGCCTTTAAAAATATAATTAGTTTACCCCAAAGTATACTTGGATAGATACCTTGCTAGCTAATTGCTAGCAAGCATGAACACTTCCATAAAGCTTGTTTTCAACATCAAGATTTAAAGTATTTGGACCACAAGTGACAGCTAATTAAGAACTCAATTCACATATTTTCATGCTGAGGTAGTCTGTTACGAGGTCACCTACAGTCAGTGTATCTAGGTCTGTGGCTTATGCACACATCTTGTTAGAAAAAAATAGATGTTGTTTGCTTAGTTATGTTGTTGTATTTCAACCTTAATTGAAATGCAAAGAAAATTTTTAGGAAAATGCATTTGATAGTAGCAAGGAACTCTTTGAAAATTTTATAAAAACTTGAATGAAATTTAAGATTAAGAACTGTGTTTCTTTAAACACTTAGAAAAGTTGTAGGCATTTGCTGCCTCTGTGATATTTATGCCATACTCACTGCTAATGAGACTGCTAAGAAATATTGCATAGAAAGCAACGATAATTGGCCTTTTGCACAATAAATCTGCTCCTCTGCTTAATCATCTGGGTTATAAAATTGTCTGCATGCATGAAAGAATGCAATGAATGTCAGAGCTGTTGACTTCTAGAACTTCCTCTTCCATGTAGTCCCTCTTTCAATGTTGGCATTGTTTGCTCTTGTTTTGTAAATGGCATTTCATTGCAATGGTTCAGTGCCCATTTTCAGCCTTTCATTGCTGTGTTTTCAGTTAGCTGCAAATAACACTCTGCAGTGCCATTGAAAGCAAGCACACTTTATTTTCTCCTTCCTAAATTAGGGGATGCAAGTGTCACAGAATTTAGGGAACTGTTTGTACTCAATTTTATTTTATATCCTGTATTTGTATGGAAGTCCTTTGAGCTGTTTAAAACCTGACTGACAGTTTCTTTAAATTAAAAGATGTGTCTGAAAATCTGGATATTCAGAATTTAGTCAGACTTGTATGGGGAAAAAAATCCATATATTTAAACCTGAAGGAAAAAAGAGCAGAGTACAGGTTACTAGAGGAGGACTGATTCTAAGGAGTTAACAAGATTTTTAGATATGACAGGGTATGTCTCCACATTCTGCATGGCAAACTCCAAGTTTGCTCTGCCTGCATTCTAAGCTGGCCAGATGTCATGTTGCTCTGGACTAGGTGCTATGATGATGTGAGCTCAACTGTAGTGCTGCGTTATGTCTGGGATTTCAACCAGCCTTGGTAGCTTGTAACAGTGCAAAGCTGGAATCTCTAAAAGTGCTGTCCCAGAGGTGACAGTTTGTTGGTGAGCAGGGCAAGAGGCAAGTTACTGCTTTGTAAAGCTCCTCAGTGAAGAGAAAAGATGGCAGTCTCTGATTTACCTGTAAGGCAGGCTCCTCATTTATATGTTAAACTGAAGAAATTTATTTTACAAAAAAAAAAAAGCTCTATATAAGCAATTTAAAATCAAAACCAGCTAAACTAACCCTTTCAAGGCCAAATGTAACTAATCATTGCAAGTAACAATGGTTGTGATTGTCTCTGATTGAAGTATTTGAATTATCTGGTGCTCTAGGTCAAGATTAACTCTGCTACTTGAATAAAGATTTTATTTAGGAAAGTTTTCTGGCATGCTCTGAAACGAGATGAACTACATGATTCCAATGGAATCTCTGGCCTTTTAATAAAGTAAAAAAAAAAAAAAAAAACAAACCCAAACACAAAAACCAAAAGCCATTCACTGCTAATGTTGCAAAATACCTGTGGAACAGGAAGTATTGGGAAAAGGAAGTATTTTTGATAAAGGGTACACTATTTTAGAGAAGCTTTAGGTTCCTAACTGTTTAGAAATACAGCTGAACTGCTATCACTCGTAATTCTTTCACTGCTTAGTAAGGTTTGTTAGTGATCATAGTTTACTGAAGAGGCACTGATAGTTGCATTAAGCTGGACTAAGTCCAATTTTGAGATACAAGGTTTAGTCTTCATGTACCTCAGCTTCTACTTTGTGTAATAGTCACATTTTCCGTTGTTGTAGAATAATCAGGATACAGTTCTGATCAGGCTGAGTGTTACCTAAGCTGCTTCTCCCTCACACTCACACCCCTGCCTTTCATGTTTGAGTGCTTCTGACACTTCTAGCAACTTAAATTGAAGGGAAGTGGGGAACCATGCAGAATAACACTCAGTTGTCACCTGGCCCATTCCCAGTGTCTGAATTGATATAAGGCACACACCCCCTTCTCTAGGTTCACAGGCATGTCAATGTTTGCACATGCCCAAGTATGGGAACAACCTTTCTGCCTGCCTGGTATCCCTGCCCACATCACAGCCGTCCCATTCCTTCCATAGGTCCTTAACTGGTGCAGCTGGATGCACCAAATATGACCACTCTTCTGGCTGTATTGCACTGTATTCTTGCAAATTGTCTCCCTTTCAGGTAAAGGCTGAAATTTTCACTCATTCAAGGAGACAAAAAAAAGACAGAGGGGGCCCCTGTGCTTTCTGGGTGGCAGCTTGCAGTCACCACTTCTGGGATAACCCTCCAACCCAGGAATAACCAGTAACTCAAAGGAAAACTGTAAGACACACAAGGGCTCCTCTTGGTCATAACATCTGTTGACCCTCAGCTGAAGCCCCAGCAGGGATTTCAAAAGGTTCTGTACCTTCCAAGCAGTGGCAGGGATCAGCCCATGGTCTGCCTAAGTGAAGCAGGACATGTGAATCCCATTCACAGCAGCAGGTGCTGTTGTGGAAATAACCTGAATTGCAGTTTAGATAGGAGAGGACAGCGAACAGCAGCGACAGCCTTTGCTGATGAGAGTTCAGCCCAGCTGGGACAGCTACAGAGTTCTATAACTTTTACAAACAGCTTTTTCACAAAAATTGTGTCAGATAAGCAGCTTATGGTACATAACAACAGCAAATTCAGTTTCTCAGATGAGGAGGCTCGAGTCAGTACATTCTTTTACAAATAGTTCACTCCTTTGTCAATTTAAATCATTCTGACCAGCAAGACCATTAGCTGCAAATGCTTAACTGCTTTGGCCTGCAAAGGCCTATTCAAAATTAGCAATTTTAATTTCACAAACTGAACGTAAGTAATTGCAGTGCTTTTGATCACTTGCCTGTATAAATTTCGTAGTAATTTTATGAGCAAAAATGCTGACTTCTTTGCGATTTCAGAGCAACTCCAAAATCAGTAAAGCACAGGTGATGGTTAAATGTGGAAATAAGGGAGTCTTTTGGTTGGATTTTCAGCAGTCATTTGCTCATGACATGCACATAAACACATGCAGATTTTGTAAAAGTCTGGTAACTAATGGTTTTTAATATGGAATCTGTTGATGATCACAGAAATGCCAGCATGAGACCAGTGAAAATTGACCATTTGTCTCCTTTCATAACTTACTGTGGTCCATGAGACCATCAGGAGAAGCAGGGCCCCTCCTGTGCAAGAAGCAGAACTGAACACAAATAAATTAAATGGAACAGCTGCACAATACAATTCTCTGTGCATCTCAATCTTAATGTTTTTAAGTTTTTATTTATACTGTAAGTTAAGTCTTTGCGTTTCAGGTTTTGGGGGAATAAATTTAGAAAGAACATGCGGTCATACTGCAGTTTCAAGTAGAAATTGATACTTACTTTTTAGAAACAGTTTTTCTACACAGTTATTTCAACTGAGGATTCTGTCCTATGTTTGCATAGATAATGTGCAATTCAGTTTGCCTGAGGAGGTGTGCTGATCATACACCTGTATGATTAGTTGTGTATTAAGCAAGCAAGGATTTGAAGACATTTGCAGAGCATCAGATTCTAGCCAAATAAGTTGTTTTAAAATAATTTCATATTAAAGTTGCTAATTGCTATTTCAGAGTGAAAAAGTTGACTGCATCTAATACACCTTATACATAGACATATCAAAAAATGCAGTAGTTAAAAAAAGACACGATAGGATATATAGAATTTGTAAAGTTTTGTTATATATATATGTCTATTTTTATGAAGTTATGCTAAAGGAGAACTGATACTTTTCTGTAAATGTAAGATTTTTTAAATCAAGTATTTTATTTTAAAAATTCTGTTTTCTTTTACCCTACATGCAGTCTTAAAATTGTTTGTATTGAGGTACTTGTACCAAGAAACAACTAAGAAAGAACTGGAAGGGATTGCTTACAGATGTATAACTGCAAGTAATTTTCTCTTACTTTCATGAGAGAAAAGTCATCACCTGAAGATTAAAAAGCTTGTAAGTCATGCCAGCCAGACTTAAGTAGTGGGTTCAACAAATGGCCAAAAGCAAATGCATAGCTGTTAGCTGAGAATATGGATGATGTCACTTTCAAATGCAATATATATAATTTTGCTTCTATGAGCATTTTAAATATTGACTCTTTTTTTCCTAAGCACACTGAAATTCTTTGTTGTTGGTAAAAGGTGTCTTGATTCTCAGTCCCTAGCCTAACGTGTCACAGAATGCTTTCTCTTTTGCAGTGCATACTAGGATCAATCAAGGTTTGTCTTAGCTCAATTAGCTAATAAGGTACAATTTTGGAAAGCATGTTTTGAAGAAAGCAAAACTTTGCCCAGTATCTTTTTTCTTTTCCTCCTGCAATTTGTGAACATAGAAGCATGCCGTTTTCATTCCAGGTGATATCTGCTACTGTGTTGTAAAACTTGACTTGATAACCTTTTTGTTGTATTTAGTTTCAAGATTTAGATTCAAGTTCAAAAAAAAACCTCTCTGACATCTGTACTCTATAATAACTAGAGAGCAGTATGAAAACTTGCTTTTATATTTGCTGTAAGGTTACATTTTACATTAATACCTTTCTCTGTTCATATATCCAGTATTTTTCTCTGTTCTTCCTCTAGCGATGGACTTACAACGAAGACTTGGAACTGAAATCAGGAGTAAGGACATTTGGAGTGGGTAACTGGGCTAAAATTTTGGCCCATGGTGACTTCAACAACCGAACAAGTGTCATGTTAAAAGACCGGTGGAGAACATTGTGCAGGACTGACCTAGCCTAGCTTTCCAGAATAACAACTTATTTTAGTCTCAAAGTGTCCAGCAGTGTTGCTGTCCGGAAACATGAAACGTGAAGAATAGTAATAGCTATAAAACATTTATGTAAGCAAACTTGTTCAGGTGATGACCTTAATATGAAGCCAAATAGAGAGTGTGAACTTTAAGGCAGATGAACCTTAGCTAACAGTAAAAAAAGTTCCTTATTACTAGTTAAAAATGCTCATGTGTACTAGTGACATGAAGTTCTGAGAAGTCTACTTCCTTAATACTGACGGTGGACTCACCTATGAAGATGGGTGAACCTGAGAACTGCAATGTAGAGGAAGAATACTTATGCACTTGCAGTATAAACTATTGTCTAGATGATGCTGAGAAGGAACTGAGGATCTAAACTGAAATCTGGTTTTAACGCTCAAACTTTCATTTTTATTTACTCTTGCTATTTAATGATGACAGTAATTATCCTCAGACTTGAGAGTGTTTGACTGGCTCACTACTGAGTAGGAGCAGTGCTTGTAGACAGGGCAGTGGCCAATAGAGAATGTGAACTTCAGGAAAAGCAACTACTATGATTAGAAACATTAGCTCTTAATTACCAGAGAGAAACATGGAAATATGCTTCTAGTGTTCTAATAGGAAATCAGTCTTAGCGTTTTGTATTAAGGCAGAGAGTTTCCCAAAAGGCTTCTACTAAAGTTCTGAGTCCTTTAAAATTTGTTTAGGCTCCAGAAAATGCAGCATAAAAATGTAGATTTCTTGGCATTGATGTTAATATTCTTGATCTTTTTGTTGTTGCTGTCTTAAAGGTCTTTTAAACTTTTATGTAAAAATAAAGCTATGCACCAGCGGACATGAACAGTGTTCCAGTTGCCGAATCTTCTTCCAGGTTCCTTGGCACTGAGAGTTGCCAATTGCTTCCCAGTGTAAGATTTTACCTCTGAAATGGGACAATAAATGAGGAATTAGAAGACTGAAAATTGTGTATTTCATGTTAATGGGTTATGTTGTGTAACATGTCAGAAGAATAGATTTGCTTAATCATGTAGGACTCATCTAGCTCATGAAATGGTTCATGGAGCAGGCACTATATTCTAAACAATAGTATACAGGATGGTGGACTGAGTATGTGGTTGTCCAGGTATTGAGTTGTATGCATATTAATGAAATATGGACCAGGTAAAAATATGTTATGAATAATAAATGTCTACTTTCACATTTAGTTTTCTATAATACAGGTATATAGGTTTGAGGGGCCTACTGATCCACCACTGTTAAACCTGCAATCAGATTTGTGTTATGGTAGGAAATACCATTTTTATGTAAAAGTGCCTGTAACTGTAAAATGTCCTCTTGCACTACAGAAGTTGCATTATTCCTTTACAATTGTGAATAAAGCTTGCAAAGCATTGAACTCTTATACTGAAATTACTTCCCAATTCTGTGAGAACTGAAAGGGTAAACCTTCTGAGCTCTACATTTGGTATGAGCTGTTTCATTTTTTAGGTATAATAAATGCAACTTTTAAGGAGACCTTGAGAAGTTTTAACTTCTGTGCTGGGTTTTGCTCCAGAAGAGAGAGCAGAAGGAAAGGCTTTCTTTACCCGTCCGCATTATGGCCATCCCCAGCACAGCGACGCGTGTCGGTGTTCATAGCTGGAGGCTGGCAGGCGACGCACACGGTGTGTCCTTCACGTAGGTACTGCATCCAGCGAGCATATGGACGATTCTCCAAAGCACAGTGGTGTGAAAGAGACTCTGTTCTAAACTCCACACAGTACCTGCTCAGCAGAAAAAGTACTAAATTAGTTATGACAGATAAAGGACAAGCTTTATCTTTACTTTGAATGTACTTACTCACCAACTGGGTGGTATTTGTGAAGTGCAAGTTAAGCATTATCATTGCTAACGAGTATCTTTCTGACCTAACCTAATCAGTAGATTCTTAAAAACTTTCTGCAAACTATTTCTCATTCTATGCTCCAATCCAGTGCTTTTATGTATAATCCCACTTTCTGGTTGTGTTCTGTATTCTTAAATTGTGTTGAAAAGCAGATCTTGATAATTCTGCTGAAGGAGAAAATGGAAAAGAGACTAAGAATACCGATGGGATTTATTGTTCTGGGGAAAACAGCACAGGACAAAGCATTATGAGCTTACAGACCCAGTAATAGCCTAATTTAAACTTCATAGCCATCTCTACTGGTAACCAAACAAAATTTTTTATTGCTTGTGTCAATTAGTTTAAAGAAAAAAGGTCTCTTGAGACCAATCACATTCAGCCCACTTTGTGAGTTCAAAAGCCTAAGTCTAATTTCTTAGACTTACACTTAAGATACATTCAGCTTTGGTTTAGCATTATGTACTGTTGGCTTTCAAAAGCAGCTGTCATCACATTTGCCATGATCCCAGCGACTAATTCAGGACAATTAGCAAGCAATAAAAAACAATGTCTAGAACATGCAAATAAACTGCATGAAAGAAAACTAGTACAAGCTATAGCTTATTGTTTAATTGTTTCAAATTTCATTACATTTTTCCCTGTAGCCAGCTACTTTCTACTGAGCAAGATGACCCACATGCATATGATAAATAGATTACCCAGCTGCTTCTTTGTCTGAAGGCCAGAGAGAAGATACTGCTTGTTGTTTTCTTTCTTTACCGTATTCAGAGGTAGTTATGAAAGCAGGGACTGAGGAAGAAAACAGTTACGGTAAGGCAGCAAGACACGGCTGAGCAATATTTCAATTACTGTAACAGCGGATGAATGAATCAGGAGCTTGCGAATGGTGATGTGATGTTGGCTGACTTTACTGAAAAAGTGGTAAAATGTTGGCAACATCAGATGTCAACCCCATTCCCTACAGATAAGCTCTCCTTATTCAGAAGAAAAATATCTAGAAATGCATGCCATCTAGCCCAAGGAAGTAGGATGTGCTGGAATCTTGAAAGGAGTACTCTTTCCTATTTCATGATGAATTTGTGTTCTACCTTTGCACAGATATAATTTGATACTTACTGAGGGGCTTATGTCCAGAAACTGAAGGGAATGCATGCAGCTTAGTTTAGTTGTTTACTTAATAGAAATTAAGAAATGCCAGAGTGGGGGAAAAAAAATAAAATTAAGGGCAATATGACAGTAAAAAGCAACATTTTCAATTGTATTTTTAACTACCTATCTTCAGATAGATGCTGGTGTTTTTTTCTTGTTCATTGACATCAGTAAAATTTATGATGGCCTTGATGGACACAATGTGCAGACAAATCAAAGACAGAATACCATGTTCATGGCCGCATTCCTCTCCCTGGTAAGTCAGGTATTCCAGGCAGCCAGCCTTCTCCTCCAGAGCAGGACAAGGTTCCCCACCATTTTTAGGTTCCTGTTGTACATAGCGCCTACGTATTCTCAGACCGGGATGACACTGTTCTGCACAGCCACTCCAATGACTCCATTCCCCCACAACACACGGAAGAGCTGCAAAGGAGTATCGAAACATTACTAGTGGTCAAGGTTTCTGTTTTATCCTAACTGCTCTCAAAAACTTGAGATATTAAGACTGTGTTGGTTTTTTTTTTTTTCCCCTTTTCTACTTTTATTTATACAGTTTTAAATGCTCTTCCAGGAGTCTGCATCCTCAGCTTTAACATTCAAACCTGCCTGCATTGCATTGCTCCATATTTGATCCCTTGTGTATAAGCCAACAGCCCCTCACCAAAAGCTTTCACTACAGCAATGAGGTTCTTCTGCACCCTCTTCTGAAGCGTACAGCATTAGCCCCAAAGGAGACCGTTTACGGGTTATCTAGACCAGAGTGGTCTGACCTACCCTGGTAGTTCCTACACCACTAGATTTTGTTTAAAGGGTGGAACATTAAGAAGCAGAACTCAGGAAGCCTTTCAGCAATCTTGATTCCCCTCAGATTGATTTCTAACCCCTTTTTCCTCAACACCTAAGTAAGAAGCAGTGCCACAGCTTTGTTGCCCTGTTATACACAGAGTGTCGTACTCCATGGTCCTTGCTGCAAAGACAATTTTTGTGGAAAATTTTGCTTTTTTTTTTTTTTTTTTTTTAGTCTCAGAACAATGCAGACCCTGCTCATTCCCAACAATACAGCAGTCCACTTAACATTTGAATTTTAGTTCTTGTGGATAACAAACTTCCTCTGAACTTAACCAAAACATTATGGGGAAAGTGTTATTATTATGAAAGCAAACTTTGAATCGTAAGAAAATGCATTTCCCTCTAGTAGAACATCAATAGCACAGGTACCATATACTCATACCTTTGGTTTCTCCTAATCCAGCCTAATAGAGATATAAAGAACTTCTCTCTTTGCACATAACCTTTAACCCAGTTGATGGCCTTTGACACCTTTTTGATTAAATAATATCCAGGTTCTTTAAAAACAGACTAAATGATTGAGACTGAACCCTTATTTCACGTTTGTCACTTCTTTCTGTGAGAGCCGTACAGGGTAAACTTAGCACCTCTCATTTTCAGCATTGTCTTTAAACTCAAAAATTATCAGATCTGTTACCAGTAGCCATTTCCTTCCTTATTTTATTCTCTGCAATGCATCTAATAATGATGGCATTCTCTGTGTAGTTCTCATTTATATTAAGCACGATATATATCTTTCTGAGCTGGAGTTCTCCCTTCTCTTGCACTTCTCTTTTGTATTCTGGCAAAATAGAAAGAATTCTCTGAGAACAAGCAATCATTCCCCTGCATGAGTTGTCCTCAACCTGTAGCCTACGAGGACATTTAATCTGACCAGCAGTCCATTTCTAGTAATTTCTTTTCCTGAAGGCCACCTGGTAGGTGCTTCAGGTTGGACAATGGTACAAAATACCCATCATCATCAATGGTCACGCTATCTTAAATTGGTTCTGAATTGTTTTGGGTCATGCTTCTCTAGTTATCTAGTTAAATAAAACTTTTTCCTTTCTCATGTATGCTGTTTCTTATTAGCTTATAATGGAACATATCACATGCTTTTGATTTTTTTTCCTTGTTTTCTGATTACAATTTAAATCCCCAAGAAGCTTTACAGCTTAACCACTAGTTACATACTTATATTAGTGTTGCAGAAAAGTGATGGGACCAAACTAGTCTTACAGGAAAATATTTTATGCCCTTTGGGATTCTGCCAGTACAAGGCATTGGGAAGAAAGAGTAGAATGTGATAATCTCCTTGGGGTTTGCGACTTCTCTCATAAAACACAGAAATGGCCATGTTTGCTCTGTCACTACATCCCTAATTTTTTGGAGCACTACTGATATTATAAAGCAGATAAAACCTCTCAAAGAGGCTACTTGGCAAATGTCCTTATCACACCACTATAATTTCCCTCCTCTGTTCTCACTGTGCACTATTCTAACCAAACTTGTCCACTTTTAGTGCCCTGACAGCACCATGTGTATGAGTGGCTGAGGATGCTGCATCCGACGCCCTAAGGAACTTTACTGAAACAGAACCACTGAGCTGCTCTGGATATTGGGCCACCAGTTGTCCATTCTGCTCAACAACTAGCATTCTCTGGTGTTTTCTTCTACCTACTGATAAATCCCTTCCCAGACAGCCCCTGGGTATGATTTGTAGAACAGCACTACAAAATAATGGAAAAAAAGCTCCCTTTGCCACATGCAGGTACCTGACACTGCACCAC